TGGTCTCCCCTGGATGGATGCCATTGTTTAGTTTCTCCCAATCTACATTGTCTGTCTACATTGATCTATGTATGCTGGAAGGAGTACAGACACCAGTGCAAGCAGTGACAAACTACCAAACCACTGTGTGTGGCTTTCATAAGTTCATGACCATTAATGTGATGGTGCATATAATTACATGAAGCAGGAAATTATCGTGATCATATTTGCTAATATTTAGTATCTGAAACTGTTTTGTATTAGTTTGTCATTGGTAATGTGTTTGACACACAAAGGAAATAGACAAGAATAACTACAAGGAAAATAGAGTTCACAAGAGGGCTATTAAATAGCCACATGTTAAACTAAAGAAAAGAATTGTTCAATGCTGTTAAAGGGGAAGTAGTGCGTGAGTGAGTGAGTTGAGTTTAACGCCGCTTTTAACAGTATTCCAGTTATATCACGGCATGTCAGCTTAATGTGGGAGGAAAGCCCGAATTGATGCAGGTCTCATACATTTGCCACTTTGGTGAAACCCACGAGCATGGATATGGTGCTGACAAACCTAGAAACATAATCGGGACGAACTGGGATTCGATCCCACAATCATAGGTTTGTGGCGTGCCCAAGGGACACAAATCACGGCGACTTAGACGACTGGGCCACCGGTGCCTAAATATGACCAGATAGGTGAGGTGAGGCAAGGTGAAATAGGGTATACCTTCTTTCAAGAATATTACACTCATACTGATATATGTGCATGCACTAGCTGGGACTAATGATTGTTTTATAGTGCTAGCCCACTGAGATATCATGCCTCAGTTCAGCTTGGATATACCACTTCGACACATTACTGACTCCAAGCCAGCTAGACCTTTTTTATATCATAATGATTTCTGGTCAGACGCTCTATCCAGTCTACCACGGAGGCAGTGAAAAGGTTGGATTGAACCTTACTTAAACAAAAACCTTGCCCAAGTGACCAGCTGTGTGTTTGACAGCCATTGAGAGCCTTGTAGCATGTGTTGCAGCTATCACAGCCAGTGAGGTGTGATTTACTCCCCCAGGCTGTAGGTATGGCCATGAGTACAGGAATCAATACACTCTGTAGTCCCACCACACTCAGTGAGTTGCACACATGGCTGATGATCACTGGCCAGCCTCCACATGGACATGAACCAGGCCGGCAGATGGGACAGGATCGTTCATCAGTCCTTCACACGTAATGTGTCAGTTCAAGGTCGTCTTAACTTAGACCCCCAGGACAAAACAGAAGTGTACTCTCCATGATACAAGTCTCTATATCAATGAACACATTTCTTAGACATACTTGAAAAGGTTTGAAATATGAGCTTAAAGATACAAATTAATCTTCTAAATAAGTTTGGTACTTATTGGAAACAATGTCTAAAAATACCTGATCTAAGATGAAAAGAAATCAATGTTTTTGTATCCAAGAAATCTATAATGTGAATAAGATAAGGGGCAAATAGCAAGTCTACACATGAATATTTCACAGTGAGTCAAACAACACAAACAACATGGAGATAGAATGAAGGTCCATGGAGAAGCAGCTTGGTTCAACCAGCTTTGTCTCCTTTGGTTAACAATGAAATAAGACTGCCGTATTCGACGTAATAAATAATAAGACAATTAAGAGTCTACAGAAAGCAGTTTTCATCATAAAATGAAGTAAAGTGAATACTGTATTAAACTGGAGTCAGCAACATCACAGCCATATCAGGCAGCCTACACTAAGTCATAAATTGTACCAAAGTGAGAAATCAAACTCGGTGAACTATCATGAAAAGCAAATAACCACTGGGCTACCAACCCCTCCTTACTGTGTCACATATTCAATGTGATGGGTGTTCCAGCACTCGTTTTGGAGTGAGTGAGTATGGTTTTACGCAACTTTTAGCAATAAGGGACACCAGAAATAGGATTCACACATTGTACCCATTTGGAGAATCAAACCAAGGCCTTTGACGTGACAAGAGAATGCTTTAACCGCTAGGCTACCCAACTGCCCCCATCCGTGTTGGAGTGAACTGGCTCAATGATCTGAAGTGTAATACCATCATGTCACCTCTCAACACAAGATAACGTCAATATAGCCTTGTGTTCAAATTGGCCCTATCTTAGGCTGGACTACACTTGCAGTGAACTAATTATTCATGACATTACTGATCATAAATAATAAATGAGATGACTGTATCTGGAATGCAATCAACCCTGTAACCCAGAACCGTGCACACTGATCCTGGAAAGAATGTCATGCTCTTCCAAGGAATGATAATGCATTGAGTTACATCTAACAGTCAACGGAAAACGAATCCTGCAAAATCATATCAAAAGCAAATCAGAAAAACATTTTTGTCATGTAAAAAATCATAACCAAATAACGATCTATTCCCATCACCACATTACAGCCTGGGCAAAGGGGATATTATGCACTCGGGGCATAAATACTTCTGAATCTGACAACACATAAAATATGTCAAATATAAAAGTTTGTCATAATTGTCTACATGAGTCAGAGGCATTAATCATCAATCATAATGTGCTAAATTGCCAATTTAAATTGTGGCATGAGGCAATAAAAGTCGTGCTGCTGCCGACCACCAAGTGACGTTACAGCACATGTTATAAGTGCTTGGAGATGTGATACATGTCGTATAGCACAACATGGCAGCTGTTGATGACAATGGTCCTAATGTGCCTCAACATGTCACAATGAATATTCATGCTGGAGACAGCTTCCCTATACCAGTGTGCTACTGAAGTTCGTATTTTACAAACTCATAAATATTGCATGCATTGAAACAAAATGATTCCCCACATTCAGTGTTCTGACGGACATTAATCACTATTGTTGAAGTCTGATATTTTGATACAGTTGAAATATTAAATTATTTGAGTTATCTGTTCAAAATCCATATTCAAAACATTGGAATGCTATCAAACATATGGTAGACTAGTTGGCCTTCTTTTCTTGCTCTGCATTTCATTTGATTAAGAAGTATGCTTTAAGTTTTGACATGACTGTATATCGTTGTAAATCTTGTCAATCCCACAAATTCTATTAATAAGCCTTTGCCAAAAACCTGCACAGAATCTTACAACTCAGCATGAGCAAAATACAGTAAACCACGTTCATAACAAACACACTTGTAACAAACTGCGGATATAGCGAAATGAGTTTTGATCTCGTCCATTTGCTGTATATATGCAGCATAATGCTTATAACGAACTACGGTTATAACGAACTAAAATTAGTGGTAGTTAACTGTATCACAATGCATATTCAGTAAAAGACGAAGCACATGGTCGAAGTGTCAGGGATGGTTTCTAAGTTCTTGTACATTATTTTTTGTATACAGATGATGCCAAAGAAAACGTAACTATTGATTCTTCAGTACTCGAAATGAAAAAATAGACTACAAACAAATCTCAATTATCAATGTCGTTATTTGACACACAATGTAAAAATACGAGTTTTCTTTGAAATGGTTCCATCAAGTTGCATTCCATATATGAATTGACCAATGAAAACCAACCTCAAACAGTCGGTAAGTGACTGTCAAGACTGGTATGGAAGTGTGAGGATAGCACCTCACATACGAAAGCTTTTACCTTGTTTAAAAATTAGCAGCTTTTATTTTGCAACCTATAAATAATACATGTGTATAAAGAACTTTGGATGACTTAGTCATAATGCTAATATACAAACAAAAATGGTTGTCTGCATGTATCTGAACTTAGATTTCATTGTGAATTTGCTTGCGGGAGGTTATGAATATATGTTTGCAGGCCAATAAGAGTACTCATTACGATAATGATCTATGACAAAATAGTTCCATAATTTTAACTTCATTTGTTTCTCCACCATGGGTATGTAATAATGAATATATACATGTCTCATGACAAGAAAACTAAAAGGGTTGGTTGGTGTTGCAACAAGAAAGAATTACATAAAATGAACTCAGGCAGATGAAACAAGCAACTAGTCAACTGCAGGAACTTCATAGTCATTTCAGCCTTATTATCAACTATATCTTCCCATGACTAACTCCCACTCCACAGCTGTGAGTTCATTTTGACCCAGTGATCATCCCTTCTTGCACCATACATTATTAACAGCATTATGTATCATGATGACCGTTTGTGCTGGGACAGATGAACCTATGGTCAACTACTTCTACATACGACACTCAAAAATGGTTTGGGCTCAATCAGGGTTCACTCCAGGAACGTTCTCAAATGGGCCCTTGATGTGAAAATTTCAAAAATTCCAGAGGCACGCCCATACAGCATTATGTTAAAAAATAAAATTGTATTTGAAAATGTGGGCCTTTTTCCTAGTTTAGGGGCTAAAAGCACAAGGCCCCACCCTAGAATTATCCCTGCACTGTGACACAATCAACCAGGTCACAACTGAGTGTTTATTTTCACCCTGTCAACATCCTTCCAAGAAGGATTCATTCTTAGCAGGCACTGTTGCCACATTACTTCCATTTTAGTCCCTCTTACATGATGCCAATACCTCTAAATATCCGGGATAGAATAGGTCTTTAGCAACCCATGCTTGCCATAACAGGTGACTATGCTTTTCATAAGAGGCGACTATCGGGATCGAGTGGTCAGACTTGCTGACTTGGTTTATGCATGTAATCCTATCTCCAAGGCGTGGATCGATGCTCATGATTTCAATCACTGGACTGTCTGGTCCAGACTCTATTATTTACAGACCACCGTCATATAGCTGGAATATTGCTGAGTGCGGCGTTCAACATCAAACAAACAAACATGATGCCAACCTACACGTACATCAGCATGTATCTACTTTCTCCATGGGTAGTGTTCACAACAAGGTTCTTCATTACCGCACACACCTTGCAGACCAACAACGTAGTTCTAAAATAGGTCTCTCATGTCACATTTGATGACTGTAAGTTATTCCCTGTGATGGGTATTGTGTGTTTGGTGGTGTGGGATCCCACGCTTGGAGGACTACTTACCAAAGGTACTGTCATCTCCAAGATCCTTGCCATGTTTGATCATGTGTTCTCCCAGAATTCCCTCTGGTTGTGGATACGGAGCCACTTTACCCTGGCCCCGGACTTTTGATATTGCATTCATTGTGGATAATTTTGCTCTTGATGCTGAAAAAAAGGAGAAAATAATGGTTCTAGTGCTGCAACAATTGATAAAATATTGGTCAATCAATCCACCTGAACTGGCAAAACCTTTGGTGATGTCAAAACATGAGTAAGAGTGAATGTTATTTTATGGCAAAGTCAACAACCCAGCTTTTCAGTGGCCTGTAAATAATCCAGTCCGGGCCAGGCAAACTGGTGGTTGGTAGCACTATAGCGGCCTGTAAATAATCCGCGTTTTGGGGCAGGCAAACTGGTGGTTGGTAGCCGTATAGCGGCCTTTAAATAATCCGCGTTTTGGGCCAGGCAAACTGGTGGTTGGTAGCCGTATAGCGGCCTGTAAATAACCCAGTCAGGGCCAGGCAAACTGGTGGTTGGTAGCCGTATAGCGGCCTGTAAATAGCCCAGTGTGGGCCAGGCAAACTGGTGGTTGGTAGCCGTATAGCGGCCTGTTAATAATCCAGTTCAGGCTAGGCAAACTTGTGGTTGGTAGCCGTATAGCGGCCTGTTAATAATCCAGTTCAGGCTAGGCAAACTTGTGGTTGGTAGCCGTATAGCGGCCTGTTAATAATCCAGTTCGGGCCAGGCAAACTTGTGGTTGGTAGCCGTATAGCGGCCTGTAAATAATCCAGTTCGGGCTAGGCAAACTTGTGGTTGGTAGCCGTATAGCGGCCTGTAAATAATCCAGTCTGGGCCAGGCAAACTGGTGGTTGGTAGCGGTATAGCGGCCTGTAAATAACCCAGTCGGGGCCAGGCAAACTGGAGGTTGGTAGCCGTATAGCGGTCTGTAAATAACCCAGTCTGGGCCAGGCAAACTGGTGGTTGGTAGCAGGGGTAATGATCCATGACATCAAACTACACACAGTCATGTCACATAGTGACTACCACCTCACATAGTCAGCCTTACTGGGATCTATTCTGCCTTCAGTGCCAACAGGGAATATCCAATAAATACAGAACAAAAAGAAACAATGGCAAGATAACAGCTTTTGTACTGTAATCACAAGAAAATATCAAATCATACACTTTATTGTAAGGAACTATCTTTGCCTAAGAATGTGGCTGTTAATATCTTTTGTGTGAGTGTTTGAATCTTGTTTTAGGCCACAGTCAGCAATAGTGCACTCAATCCTGATGCTCAGTAAATAATCAAGTCCAGTGACTGAAGAGTTGAACAATGATCCCAACCATCATGGCACAATGATGTGCAATCAACCAAGTCACAGAGCCTGACCAACCTAGTTGCATGTCATGACAAGCAATATAGTGCTGGGGACCTGTTCTAACCCAGAGTCCCAACGGGGCCGCCTTTCTCTCTCTATATAGGAGTCTACAGCAGGCAGGTAACCAGCTGAAGACTTAAATTGTGTGATGTGCTATAATTACTTCTTGAAGAGAAATAAAACAATTCCAACTGATTAATAATTGATGTTCAGATTCAGATTATTGAAAATAGTATTAGAAATGAAGGTGGGTTCACGAGCCTTGAGCCTTTTGGTGAAACATTTTAATCTAGGCATTCTGAATATTTCATTCCTAACAAGAAGATTAAGACAACAATCTTTCTTGTTTCCTTTCAAAAACTTGATGTGAAGTGTGTGGAGGATATCTTTTGACTTGGAGTGTTCCAGTGTCTTGTTCTAAATGTGTTCCTACTGTAAATCTATACAACCTAAATGGTGAACTTACTTCCCTCAAAAACATAACGAACTAAACAAGACTTCATGTACATATTATTGTCAAAATACAATCGATGATTTTCAGAATTTGTATATGTGTGACAAATATGTACCAGTCCATTCAAGTTCAAATCAAGAAGTTCAATACCAGTTGCAGTTATCCACATAAAAGAAACAGATTCCTATCTTAAACATCTTTGAACAAGTATTTTTCATAAGATAAATCAGCAATTAAACAGGTACAAATATCATGTGAGATATCAAAGTGTAATTGAGATTTTCATTGCACAATTGTCCTCATGGCCATAAATTCAGACTATATGTTGCAACATTTCTTAGAAAGGATAGAACTCAACAAAACAAGCCCCAATCATTTCATGATTATTGGAGCTGTGTTTTTTTCAAAGACAGCTGCTAGCCTCACACACACACCTGGGTTTGGCTGGAGGTATTCCTGGGTTTTGATGATAAGGTCATCCACCAACTTTCCCATAATGTCGATCTTCTGCAATAGAGAGAAAAGAATTAGTGAGTGAATATTGTTTTATGCCCCGTCAGTAATATTGTGGCTGTACCAGAGTGTCCTGTACATAAATGAGTCTGGGAGAGGCAAACCAATGGTTGGTTGCATGATCAAAAGCCAAGCATATGTCATAAGATGAGGGGTAGTCAGGTAGCCAAGTGGTTAAAGTGTTCGCTCGTCATGGCAGGATATTGCTGGAATATTGCTGAAAGCGGTGTAAAACCAAACTCACTCACTTACTCACTCACTCACCCATATGATGACACACAATCAGCAAGGTTTGTTTGTTTTGTTTGTTTGTTTTTTAACGCCACACTCGGCAATATTCCAGCTATATGATGGCGGTCTGTAAAGAGTAGAGTCTGGACCAGACAATCCAGTGATTGACATCATAAGCATCGATCTACACAATTGGGGTACGATGACATGCATCAACCAAGTCAACTCGTCCTGTTTGTAATTGCGATTAAGAAGAAATCTTTTTGTTTAAACCAGCAAACAGATGATACAGAGTTATAAAACCATTGAAGTCTTACACTGTTACAGAGAATTAGGATACGGACAGGCATATTTGTGATTCATGCATGTTCTCCCTGCATGTTTGGCACCAATTAAGGGCTAAATCAATATAGCACATTGAAATTAGGTGCTTATAAATATTCCATCAATCTGGTAAAGGCAAGTGAAAAAGGTGCAACGTAAAGTGTTGCCAGTTTCCATAACTTCCTACACTTTAGACAAAATATACCAATGCATGCTTAGTTTATATGTAACTCTTGTCCACCTTTGATTAATCAAAGTATTTTCATAGCTCTGTTCAACCTCGACACAACATTGTTTGACTGTAGTTTATTTGCTAATATGCAGATGACCATACCCAAAACCATCTGTATTAAACCTTTTCAAATGACATAATCTTTTGCAAACAAGACTGATGCATTATGACCAGGAAATAACCAGGAAAATTAAAATAACCGTAACTTATTTAGCGTTCACCTTGAATTATCTTAGAGAACAGAGTATTCTTTTTCTGTAAATTATCAACAGCAACTTGATAATGGGTATCATATTGCCTACAATGAACATACACTGACTTGCAAAAAGCATCTAATCAATTTTGAAATACCAGGTAGGGTCTGGGCAATCCAATATTGGACGAAGGTAATGGTGCCCTAGAACATAACATGCAGGTGTTCTTTTCATCATGTTCACAAATACAGAAACAATATTTCTCGATGTAATACATACAACATACTATTCTCCTTTCATATTCACTGGCATGAGTATTGTTCCCAAGCCTACGATGTGTATCATTGTTTGTTTGTTGTTTAACACTGCACTCAGCAATATTTCAGCTATATGATGGCGGTCTGTAAACAATCAAGTCTGGACCAGACAATCCAGTGATTGACATCATCAGCATCGATCTACATAATTGGGATACGATGACATGCATCAACCAAGTCAGTGAGCCTGACCTCCTGACCCTGTTAGTCGCCTCTTACGACAAGCATAGTCACCTTTTACTCCAATCATGGGTTGCTGAAGACCTATTCTACCATGGATCTTCATGGGTAATGACATGTATTAGCAATCTGGTATTACAGACACGGACAGCAGTAAATACTGTATCATAAGAATGGGGTTGTTTTCCACCTTGGTACCATCATTTCATATCAGCATACTCTACATGTACATCTTATCCTGTCTCTGACAATGTACCACATATTTCCCTTTAGGCTCCCAAATATAAAATATTGATATAATATGACAGAACAAGGTTGTCATGTATGTTAAATACAACCGTCACATGAATCAGCATAATATTGTACTGCAGTGTATTGCGATACAGGTGTCTGTATTGTGGAACGTATTGCGACATAACGGGAACTTAGTGGCAGTGACTGAGACTGGTTGCACATGTGAGTCCTATTTTCAACATACTAAAGTAAACAGTATCACGCAAGATAACAACACCTCCACACTACCACCGTTTTGTCAACTAATTTTGAAGGGAAACATTTGTGAATGAATTTCTACGTAGAATTTAGGTTAAACAATAAAATACGAAAGAAGCTTATAAGAAATACAGAATAAATATTCCAATACGTATCATTTATAAAGCGTATTCCAGGATACCAGTGTAGTCCTACATGTAACATACAGAAACAAAAAAATGGAACTTAGCGATCTTGTAAGTAATAATGGAACTAATATACATCTTTATCAAATCCATGAGAAACACGAGGTTTGCTCTAGTGTATCAACTGTGTGTAATGCATGTACTATATAGTGTAAACATGGGGAATGGGCAGGCTGTCTTGAGGCTGTACAGTCGCGGAGGGACATAACACTTACATGTCATAAACTTTAATCAAGATCACTGTGAATGGAAATATCAATTAGGGTCAATTCTGACCAAAGGAACAAGAAGCTGAAGCGAATGAGTTTCCGCAATATTTCAGCCATTACATGGGATTGATGACATTGTATCTATGTGGGAATCAAACCAAGGCCTTAATTTGACCACTGGGCTAACCCCACACATTGTACACGTCGGGAATCAAACCTGGGTCTTCGGCGTGATGAGCGAATGCTTTAACCACTAGGTTACCCGACCACATTCCCCTGCCCCTGGCCCAAAGAGATGACCTCATTCCACAAGGGAACACTACCACTCCCAAGCTAGTTGCACCAGACATTAGCTGGTTGCACCCTGGTCCCATAAATTTATCTCAGATATCACATAGATGCATAAACTAGTCTAAACAAGTACAATTCCAGATCTCTGATGACTATGTCAAGTGTCATGAATAACATATGGTATGGTAAATAAAGCATAGAGGTACTGAGTGTGTTTAAAGATCAATCGCTGTTGTGTGGACAGACTTGGGTTAGTCACTTAGCGCATGTAGGTTAGGTTGCATTTTTCAATAATAGGTTGCACTGGTGCATGTTTTATATAGCTAAATTGAGCCCTGCCAAGAGATAAGCTCTCTCCACAAGGGGACACAACCACCCAACCCAACCCCAGAGATGAGTAATCTCCACAAGGGTACACCCTACCACCAAAGAGATGAGCTCTCTCCACAAGGGTACACAACTACTCCCCAGAGATGAGTAATCTCCACAAGGGTACCCCCTCACCACCCACCCAAGGGATGAGTTCTCTCCACAAGGGTACACAACTACCCCAGGGATGAGCTCTCTCCACAAGAGTACACAACCACCACCCCCCAGAGATGAGTAATCTCCATAAGGGTACCCCTCACCACCACCCCCAAGGGATGAGTAATCTCCACAAGGGTACACAACCACCACCACCCAGAGATGAGTAATCTCCATAAGGGTACCCCTCACCACCACCCCCAAGGGATGAGCTCTCTCCACAAGGATACACAACTACCCCCCAGAGATTAGTAATCTCCACAAGGGTACCCCTTACCCCTACCCCAAAGAGATGAGCTCACTCCACAAGGGTACACAACTACCCCCCAGAGATGAGTAATCTCCACAAGGGTACCCCTTACCCCCACCCCAAAGGGATGAGCTCTCTCCACAAGGGTACACAACTACCCCAGGGATGAGCTCTCTCCACAAGGGTACACAACCACCACCACCCAGAGATGAGTAATCTCCACAAGGGAACCCCTCATCACCACCCCCAAGGGATAATCTCTCTCCACAAGCATCCAATATGATATGTACAGCCTACAGTGCTAAGATGGCACAAATATTCTCAGGTTACCTAAACCACTTGGTGTAGTTCAGATGACAGCAGTTCATTTCTCCAACACTTCCCCACCCTCAAAACATCCTCCAACCTAGACAGCTTCTGCCTAAACACTGATTCACACATCAGTTCAACAAGGATAATTTGTCACAAAATTAAAGAAAATTCAAATTGATTTGAAGATCAATAATTGATTACCACAGAAAATATCACAGCAAAATGCTCCGCATGGCCTCTAAAGCTATGATTAAAACAGATTACTTGTGTAGAGCTATTCTCCCAAGCAGTCCCACTGTCAATAAGAACCACTTCAAAGGTGCTCATCTGGGGTTGGCTGGTCTTCATCACTGGCCCATCTCCCACAATCTCATTAGAATAAGTGTAGCTATGATATCAATAGCTCACTGTAGGACTGCATATACAGACCCTGGTCTAATGTGAGTGGGCAGCTCCCCCGGGGCCATGCTGCCCCACTCAAGGACCAAGTCATACCTCTTACTCTCCAGAACAACAACTGTTTCATCTTTCACCAATTGACCTAAAAATTAGGACATGACTTTGAAATCCTGGCATATTAAAAACTATAGTTTGACTAAAGTATTTCTAAACGTAAAAGAAACGTCATCTGAATCAGAACAAGGATAAAGGTAAAATTTAGGTAGGAAAATTGTCTTAATGTAAATCAATTCCTGTGCCAGCCTGTCAAATTTGGCCAAACAGAAGCTAATGCTTACATCCTTAAAAGGTACGACAGAATGCTTGTCTGATGACCTGATGACAACCCTATCTGTTGATAAGTGATAATCTATAGTGTTTGTAACAACACTTGTCCTCAAGGCTGAGTCAGGTAAAATATTATGAGGAAAAAGAGATCAAATACATCAAAATAAAGTGGACCTTCTACACCTGAATGAACTTGAAACATCATATCCAATCATGTATATAGGGTTCGTGTACTACAAATCAAATGTACATAACATGAACAAAGATCAATGTAGTATGCTCACCACAGTTCAAGTACAAAATATGCTACTCAAGAGCAGTTAAAGAACACCCCATTTTTTCACATGACGAGTTACTCTGTGACGACTGGTGCGTATTGCACATTAACACATACTTCCAATTGTGGGTGTTCTTTAACTTGTTTTGAGTACTATGAAATATATTGCGAGCACACAATATATGGAATATTTCAGTCACAAGAGCAGTGTCAGAGATCAGTGCTGCATTTAGCTAACCGGAACTGTTT